ACGCATGTGGGATGGTGCTGTTCACTCCGCAAAGTACGGGGAGGCTGTTGGGGGCAGGCAGCGCTCCGGGGGGATTTACAGCTGACAGCAGGGCTGGTCCTGCCCAGGGACAGTCACTGCTCCATACCCGTGCTGTCCTAGTGCTTGTCCTAACCACCCCCAGCAACACTGGTAGGCTCCAGGCAGAGCTTAAGACTCAGCCCCTCCAGGATCTGGCCCTCCTGCAACTAGGTGCAGGATCCCACCCATCGGCTCCTGGAGCGGGAAGCGGTTTCCCCAGCTCCCAGCAAATGCCAGCCCAGCCACAAACACAGGGCTTTGAAGCTGTGGGAGCCAGGGAAGGCCAAGTGAGCCTGAGGTCCCCTTCTGCCCAGGGTGTCCTTCAGCCTTCCCACCAAGCCCATATTCTCAGTGGGTTGAAGTCACCGGAGCAGGGGCTGTGCACATGGAGCTGCCCGAGGCTCACAGCCCCACAGGGAAGGAGGCTCTGGGGGCTTTCACAAGAGGGTGCAGAGGACATCATTTGGGAACAGTGAGACGGGAAACAGCAAGGCTCCATACCCAATGCTTGGGTCCAGGGTAGTGAAACACTTCACGTGCTCCCCTTCCCCCCAGCCCCAGCTCATCAAAACCAGCACAGAAGTGATCAGACGGGACAGAAAGCACCAGACAACTTGAACTTGCTGCAGCAGCATGTGGCAGGTTGGAAGACCCTTGTGCATGCTCTGGAGGTGGATCTCCCTGCTGGTGGCTCCTCTTCTGGTTTGGGAGCACCCATCCAGGGGTTTCAGCAACATGGAGCTGTTTTACTTACAGCAAGGAGCTGTGTCAGGCCACTAAAGGGCTGCTAGCCAAGAGAAATACTCCTCAGGGGACTGCCCGGGGAGGGTGGGTTTGTCTTCTGTAAACACCAAGTGATGGAGCTCAGGTCTGTGCTCCACAGAGAAGGTCAAGTGTCAAGTGGCAGCTTTAGGGCTCTGCCTCCAGTGCTGCGGGTTGGATTTTCATGATGGTTGACTTCAGCGGGTAATACCTGCCTTTCCATGTCTTCCAGAAGATGCCCTGCTTGCGCTCGTGCCTCTGGCGGGGGATGGAGCGGAAGTACTTCCCGTTGAGGTTGGCATGGCCACAAGTGCTGAACCACCAGCCACCTACCAAGGCAACGCAAAGACAGGTTTAATCCACAGCACTTCCAGACAGAAAACAAACCCAGATTCAAGGCAGCTGCTGTCCCTATTTTCCGCACTTCTCCAGGGCTTCAGAACCTTACAAGGCCACCTCATACACACGGGAGGAGTCCCATGCTCTGGGAAACCTTTGCACTGATTCTATATGACTTCAGGATGAGTCTGCAAATCCCTGTTGCTTTTTCTTGCATGCAAAACCCCCTCAAAACCCTTCAGCAGCCCCATCTCTGGCCTGGGGACCGGCCTCTGCTTCGCTTGAAAGGTTTCCAAGCAAGGTGGCAGCCAGCAAAGCTGTTGCGAGGACAGATGCCTGGGCCAAGACCTGAATCATGAGCCCCTCCTGGTTTCAGCTTCCCCCCGGTTCCCTGCACGGCTCCTCCCAAGGATGCAGCTTTCCCAGGGAGGCAGGGGACAAGCCGGGGTCAACACCAACAGTGTCCAGTCCTGCAGGGTCACTGTCCCACTCATGGCCACCACCAGACAGCACAGGGCTGAAGGAAAAGTGTTCACCACTGGGAAGGAAGAGCTCGTACTGACCTGAGAGGTGTTTGGCACAGTTTGTGTCAGCTTTGAGGTCGTGGTCACGATCCCGAGTGGAGAAGGGCAGCTGCCTGAAGTCCCCGATGGCGTTTTCCAGCTCTCCAGACAGAGGCCCCAGCAGATTGAGCGTGTAGGCTGTGCTCTCACCACCAAGGCTGAAGACAAACTGAACCACCTGGGAATTTCCCTCCCAGTCTTCCAGCTCAATCAGGAGATCATATCTCCCCTCTTGGACAAGGTGATGGATCTTCTCCAGGCCCAGCCAGAAGTCCCCTGAAACAAGACACATTGTATTGGCTATGCGGACACAAACATGCCGTGAAAAGCAGACACATAAACAAGGCTTCAGAGACAAACAGGGACAACCCAGGACACTGCAGCATTTGAATCGCTGTTGAGCACCTGCAGGACAAGTCAGGAAGACCAAGGACTCTTGCTCTGCAAGCAGTGTCCCCCCTCCTCAGCCCAACGCTGTGCTCTGGCACTTAGAGATCTCCAGGGGCCAGCAAGGGGGAATAACTTCTGCTACGGTATAGCTTATCCCACAAAGAGAAGATAAACACCATCATCCACCTACCACGAAGGTCTCCAAAGCCATTCTTGTAGGCATCCCAAAGCTGGTCAAAGTCCACAGACCCATCTGTGCGCCTCTGGATCACTGTCCAGCCACCTTCTGTGGGCAGGAAAAACACGGTCACTTGGGGTTACCCTTTGCAAGGCCATCACGCAGAGTGCTGCAGGACATCTCCACTGCTTTACCTGCGGTCATGTCACAGTAGACTTTGAAGGGCTGAGACCCTGCAGGCTGCACCTGGAAAACACCACTGCTTTGCTGCCCGGCCAGGAAGAGCTGGTGGCAATCCTCTGGGAGCTCTGCGGGGGAAGGAAACAGCCACTGATGAGATGGCCCCGAGCCCCGCTCCGTCAGCAGGTTGCTCCTACCATGGCCCCAGCACTTGCAGCCCTGGCCAGGAGCCCGGCCAGCTGCGCACAGCGGTGGCTGCAGCTCTGGACATGTGCTGGAGATGACAGCCCCCGACTCCAGCATCTCTAAGTGTTGTGACCCTGTATCTTCCCATTTATCCAAACACAGCTCCTTGGGCTTCCATCCAAGGCAGAAGCCAGGCGTCGGGCCAGGCTGGGGTGACCTAGGCTGGAGAGCACAGCTCCCCATCGAGGAGAGACCCGAGGAGATTCTCAGCTCCCCCCATGGCAGGCAGGAGCAGCCCATTTGGGATGGGGTAACACCAGGAGCAAGCCAGGGCCAAGCACCCCATCCCACCCCAAGGCTGAAGCAGTCTCCAAGGACCTCAGGGGCAGAAAGAAACCCCCAAGTCCTAATGTCAGGAAGGCGCCTGAGCATCCAGCACATGACCTCTTGCTCCCAGCAACTCTGGTGGCCCCGGCCAGATGTCCCGCTGGGCAACCAGCCACCAGCAGGCACAGGGCCAGGCTGGGGTGACCCTTTGGGGCAAGGAAGGGGTGGGTGGGCTGCAGGGATCCCCAGCTCATTGCGTGAGCAGATTGCCTGGGGTGAGGCCACCCCCCAGCATGCCCCCCTCCATCCCCATGCCGGCCAGGCTCCCACCTCTTCTTCCACCCCGGCGGGGACTTTGCCCAGAGCTGCCAGCAAAGCACCGTTTCAACAGCACTGATAAAAGTCCATCCAGGAACCACCACCCGCAGCACTCGAGGAGAGACGGGGAGGAAAACCTGTTACAAAACCCCCGTCAAAAAGCCGCAGGAGGATGTGCAGGGCCTGCAGCCCCGGGGCTGTTGGCGCAGTCAAGGAGCTCTTTGTCAGCCGGGACAGGTGCCCCCGTCACCCCCAGACAAAGGGGGTCTGTTCTCCCCGCGCGAGGGTGCGATGGGTTTTGGTGGCTCGCAGCTGCTGCCAGCATGACCCCCAGACAGACGGGTGAAGGAACCTAAAGACAAGCCCCGGGCTGTGCCGGGGCGCTGGCCAGCCCCCCAGGCCCCCGTGGGGTCCCCCTTGTGGTAGCTGCCCCCGGGGTCGGGCTGGCACCCGTGATCGGGGCGTCCCCCCAGGGCCACAGGGCTTCACATGGGGCAGAAGGGGGAAAATGGGGCCTTTGAGGTGCCGAGGGCAGGAGCATCCCCCATGGGCCATCGCCCCCTGCCCTCACGGGGCACCCGGGGAGCCCCGATGCTGCTTCAGGGCGAGGAGCAGAGTCACAACTGGAGGAAAGGTCAGCACGGGGTGGACCCAGGGGACAGCAATGTGACACTTGCCACCGCCTTCCCCCCATTCCCCAGTCCCCCCGCTGAACTCTCCCCTCCTTGGCACGGCAGCGCCC